GAAGTCTAGAGGTTAGATCTGAGGTTGCTACCTCAGATCTGGAAGGGAGAAGAATCAGAGAGCATGAAAGTCCCTGTGTTGGAGTGTTTAGTGAAGCTTACATGTCCCAAACCCTAGCCCAATGTGCAAACGGCCTAGATCTCTTTGGATTCACGTAAAGTTTGCCACTTTACGTGATGGATGAGTGGTAGGAGGCTAGACCTATGTTTTGGAGCAGTTGCATGGCCTGGAATGCTTCTGAATGGATTCAGACCGGTGGTACTCGGCGAGTCACATGGGTGTACTCGACGAGTTGCTTGAAGATGAGCTGGGACTCGGCGAGTTGGAAGAACAACTCGGCGAGTAGGTTGATGATAGCCTTAGACTTGGCGAGTCTGTTCTTGGACTCGGCGAGTCTTGTCGAAGGGTCCCGATATTCTCTGGTTGAGTCGAGAATCGGTGAGTCGAGGGATGACTCGGTGAGTTGTGTGCGAGTGGACTCAGAGTTGTTGGACTCGGCGAGTCTCGGGGTGACTCGGCGAGTTAGGTCGCGGATTGAGTGAAGTTCTGATTATGGGAACTCGACGAGTCACAGGGTTGACTCGGCGAGTAGGGTCAGTCAGGGGTTGACTTTGACTGAGGACTTTGATTTTGACCAAGGGTTGGCCGTTGACTTTTAGGGTTTGGTCAGCGATGTGGCCTTTGGGCCAAGAGAGGGGTAAAATAGTCTTTTACCCTTAAGAGGGTGCCATGAGAGGATTGATTCTAGTCTCGAGAGTTATATTCATGAGAGTATTTGCCTTACGTGTTAGGCGGTGGCGAGTTGAGATTTAAGTGTGGGGATATCTGCTTTCTGCTTGCCAGGTGAGTCTTCTCACTATACTTTACCTCGAGTAGGTAACCAGAGTTATGTGATCAGAGTATTTGTATGCTATATGTACGTGATGTGTTGTACTGCATTACTTCTATGTGATTTATGCTGTGCATGTTTATAGAGTTGGTACCGGAAGGTTCCCAGAGTTAGAACCTGAGGGTTCACAGAGTTTGGGTGCACGGACCCATAGGGTTATAGCCTCGAGTGGCTAATATGTGTTATGTGTGGTATTTTGGGGAACTCACTAAGCTTCGTGCTTACAGTGTTTTGTGTGATGTTTTCCAGGTTTCTTTCAGTATCACGGGACGGCACCGGCTTGATTGTACACACCAGGGAAAGAGTCATATTTTGGAGGATCCTGGTTTTCTATGCATGTGAAAATGGAGTTATGTTTTGTAATTCGACTATGAATGAGATTTTAAACAAGCGTTTCTAAGAATAAAATGATTGTTTTAAATGAAAATTTTGTCTTGAAATTTACGGTGTTACAAAAGTCATGTTATTATATTGATAAAACTCTGACCTGATAGTTACTAATAATGACTGGCACTCGGGGACCTCAGAACTTCACCAAAATTCCCTAATTACTTAGAGTTTTTGGGTTGAATGTAGGAAATTTTGAGAGAGAAATGTGAGAAGGTGTGGAGAATCAAATGAGCCGAAGATGGTATTTATAGGGTGAAATTTGGGGAGGTTCACCACACCCTAGATCTGGTCGACCTTTTTCCTCCTAAAATGTGTCCTTCAGTGGGTGGAGCGGTGTAGCCCTTTTAAAAGCTCGCATGTAGGCCTTGCAACTGGGTTGGATTCGGTTTGGCGGGTCACGAGTTGGCAGGTTGGCATGTCACGGGTTGGCGTGTTGAACACATCAACCCAACCCAACCCATATAACCTGTATAAGTATATGGGTTAGTGGGTTCGTAGGTCAGTTGGTCGAAGCCAACCCGTATAACCCATTTAACAAGCAACAAATTTTAAAATGAAATTAAAAAATACGAATAAAATGAATTCATAAAGTCTTAAATATTCAACATAAAGTCATAAACAGTAGCGACGACGATGAGAGGTGTGCGACAGCCAGAGGATGAGAAGACGAGTGGTTTACGTGCGACACTGCGACAGTCGATGACTCAAGGCCTCAATCGAGGAGACGGGAGACACAGAGTTGTGGGTTTGGAGACTGAAGATTGGATTTCTTTTTGATTAGGGGCTTCTTAGGGGCCAAGGAACGGTAAGTCGACTCGAAGATGTTTTGCAGTTTTGGAAATCTGAAAACAATTAAACGATAATGAAATATTCAAAACTGATAAATATTTAAATATATTTTTAAACATAATATATATATATATATATATATATATATATATATATATAATCGGATTGGCGGGTTGACCCGTGAACCAAAACAGGTAACCCAACCCAATCCATGAAATAAACGGGTTGGCGGGTTAGCGGGTAAAAATCTCAATCCAAACCCGTTTGTTTTCCTGTTGGATCAGTTTCGGGTTACAAGTTGGGTCGAGGATTGCCACCCCTAGTTGCGTACCGTGCACCCGGTGCCCGAACTTTTTAGATTTTCAAAATTTTGTATCTTCTTCATACAAACTCTATTTTTGATGTTCTTCATATCCACGCATAGCTATCAATAAGATCTACAACTTTCATTTATACTCCTTTGACTAATTCTTAGTTTATTTTTTTATTTATTATTTCAGAAGGCTTAGACTGTTAATCTTCGTTTAAAATTCATGACTTTTTCATTTGATATTCGTTCTCAACTGTTTTTATATTAACGAAATCCTATTAATGATATCCGCGACTCTCATTTAGATTGTTCTGACTCAAAATTAATCGGCATACATTTTGATTACTGTGCTAACACAACTGTGTTGAAACATGAAAAAAATCATAAGTTCCTCATATGAAGTCAGATTTAAATGTTCTCTATATCCGCACTCTCGGTTTTACCGTTACTACGACTTTCGTTTAGATTACTTAAGCTATTGAGTAACCTATCTCTGGTTCACTATTTACGACACTCGGTGTCACATCAGTTTAAACATGAAACTTCAAATGATTATAATTTCTTCATACGAAATCATATTTTAGTGTTCCTTATATTCCCGAAATCATCATCACGACTACTTCAATTTTCATCAAGGTTGTTTATTCTACATAAGATTATATTTTCATATTTATTAAGTTTTCACCTAATATTATAAAGATATAATATAAACACATAAGTCACATAGATTCAAACAATTTCATTTTATTTATTCATTTAAAGATTACAATTGTTGATAAATGTCGCTTACACTTGAGAGTGAGACATAATGGGTTGATCTCTTATCATTTCTATTTCTATTAGAGGTAAGCTTAGGTGGTGATGGGACTGTCGTCATGGGCGGAGCCGGTAGTAGGGGTACTATATGTTGTGACCCTCTAACTCTATTGATATTAATATATTACCACTCAAAGCTCACCATAAACTATATGCTTCATCTCCTTCGATATGTATTAAATTGTAATTAAGTTTATTGGATATTAATGTTTTTTCATACATTATTCATTAACTTTTTCAAAATACATCAAACTTATAACTGTACAAATAACATTTCAATATGTATTATTACTTTCCACATTACAACCTTTTTTTATGATATAAGACTCTAAACTCACATACATACATATATCTCACTCAAATGGTTTATTTTATATATATATATATATATATATATATATATATATATATATATATATATATATATATATATATATATATATATATATATATATATATATATATATATATATATATATATATAATATAATGATATACATCTAAACCTCCACTAATCTAAAATTCTAGCTTCCTCCCTAAGTGTCTCGGCCATTCTTGAAGTTAGTACCGAAAGGTGTGTTTACAATAAGTAAAATGAACAAGAGAGAGAGTATTTAAATCAACTAAAATTTAAATTTAAATAAAAAATAAAATAAAATGAAATCTTTTATGGCCAAAAAGCCCGGTTGGCAAAATTTTGAAACTACAGCGACCAAATGCATGGAAGTTCTAATAATTTTTCTTATTACGTTGTTTTGGAAAACTATATTGACCAATTACCTAATTTTTTCCAATTATTATATCGTATTTAATAACCGAGGTACCTAAACAAAAAGGATAATTATGTATTATGTGAGTGACACATACACTACATCTATTTCCTTTATGGGTGATATTTTTTCAAAAATAATTCAAAGTCAATTTAACTGGAAAAAAATATGTAATCGTTACCGACACCGTAGATATTGTATATTGTTGTAGATGTTTCTATAAACTGAAATTAAAAATGTTTCTATTAATGTTTTAAAAATCGGTTTTTTAGTTGAACCGGTATAGTGATCGGTTTCCGGTTTAACGAGTTCGACCGTCGAGTGAAACAGTTTCTAAATTTTTTATGTTTTTTTCTATTCTCCTACACATAAATACATATATAAATTATGAATTTGATTTTACAAGTTCAAACATTAAAAATACATATAAAAATAAGTTGTACATAAATCTAAATACATTAAAATAACACATAACCATAAGGTTTAGTGTTTTACATCAATCCATATACATCAAAAAGAAAATAAAATATAAAACCGAAACAACATATAGTTTTGGATGAATACAAATATATCAAAAAAAAATCATAAAATTTATCATATGTTTTTATTTAGAGAAACTAAATAGATTTGAAAAAAATCACAAAAGTTTGTTACGTGGTTTTATTAGGTTTAACCGCTTAAACCGGTTTATTTTGACCGGCCCGACCGGGTTTTTCTAAAAACTGATCGGTTCAATCCGGTTCATAAATCAATTAAAATCGATGATAGTTGAACCGCTTCCTCTTCCAGTTTCCGGTCCAACCGGTTCGATCAGCCGATTGAAACGGGTTTTTAAAACATTAGGTTGTATCTTTCGTTCATATCTATCTTTTTACTAGTATGGGATAATGACATGAGGAGTCTTTCAATCTACTCTCTTAACTTTGACTTTGACACTCTCATTAATCTAACGAGTATAAAAAATAGGTACCAAATGTAAAAAGATATTTGATTTCTCTATAAATAGACTTCATCATCCTCACATATTGCAAACACTACTCAAGCAAAGAAATGGAAGCAATGGATTTTCTGTTTTTAGTTCTCTCCGCCACTATTTTCTTCTTCCTCCTCTTCCATAGCATCGACCACCACCGTAGAAGGAGACTACCACCAGGCCCAGCCGGCCTCCCAATCATCGGAAACCTCCTTGACATTGGACCACAACCCCATGAGTCCTTAGCCAAGCTTTCCCAGAAACACGGTCCACTTATGACAATTCGATTAGGCAGCGTCACCACCGTGGTGGCATCCACACCCGATGCTGCTAAAGAAATCCTCCAACGCAATGATGAGGCGTGTTCTGGCCGTATTATCCCAGATGCTGTCACCGCCTTGGACAACCATGACGCGGCGGTGATTTGGATTCCAGCCAACTATCAGTGGCGGACCATTAGGAAAGCCATCAAGAGGTACTTCACCAACCAACTAAAACTTGATATTGTTCGTGACCTTCGCCAAAATGTGATGGAGGGGATGTTAGATTTCCTTCGAGAGTCCGGGCGGAAGAAGGTAGCTGTGGACATCGGAAAGCTGGCATTCGCGGTGGCACTCAACCAGATGTCAAACACATGCCTTTCACGGAATCTGACTAGCTATGAATCTGATGATATCGGGGGGTTTAATTCGGCAGTGAAGACATTGATGGAGGTGGACGGGAGGTTTAACATCGCAGACATATTTCCGGTGCTGAAGCCGTTAGACCCGCAGGACATACGACGGCAGGCAAAAGCATCTTATGACTGGTTCAATCAGGTGACAGAAGGTTTCATAAGAGAAAGGTTAAAACATCGAGAGTCGAATAAGTTGTCGAGGTTTGGTGATACCTTGGATTCATTGTTGGACTACAGTGAAGATCATGAAGCCGACTTCAATCTCACACACATCAAGATTTTACTTGTGGTAACTTGCTCTCTTCTATACCCTATTTTTCATTTTTTTTTTAAAAGGACATAATCCTAAACAATGCAGAACTTGTCTTGGATAAAATTGTTTGATTAAAATGGTTTTTCATATTTCGTAATATAAATAAAGTTCAATTAATTAAAAAATGAAATAGCTAAAAATCTTTTTTGGTCTATCATCAATTGTTAAATGCCTTGCATGCAGAAGCAATAACAACGACAACGATTTGGCTTCTAATTAAAAAGAAGCTCATGTCCTAAAATGATCTTAATTACAAATTTTGACCTTTTAAGTTTTTTATTTTACTGTCTGATTTCGTAAAGCAATTTTACAACCAATATTTACATAATCAAATCTTCAGCAAGATCTTAACTCTTTCGTTAAATGAAAGAACTTTAATTTGAGTTATAAAAAGCTTTTGAACAAAATGATTTACGAAACGTCTACTCCAAAAACTATGAATAACTCTATCTATAAACTATTTCGTATAGAACGAGTTTAAATAACTATGACGAGTAACCAATATCATGTTAAATATATATAGGATTTATTTATAGCTGGAACAGAAACAAATTCAAGTACAATAGCATGGGCTATGACAGAGCTGCTACTTAACCCTCATATATTCTCAAGACTTCGTGAAGAAATCTCCACAATAGTGGGAGAAGATGGAAAAATTCAAGAAGCCAAAATCTTGGACTTGCCATTTTTGCAAGCTGTAATCAAAGAGACTTTGCGACTTCATTTACCTGTGCCTCTATTAGTGCCTCATAAAACTGAAAGTGAAGTTAAACTCGGTGAATATATGATACCAAAAAATACACGAATTCTTGTAAACGCATGGTCCATAGCACGTGACCCTATATATTGGGAAAACCCGTTGACGTTTAACCCAGAAAGGTTCTTCGAAAATGAGCAGATTGAGTACAAAGGCAAACATTTCAAATTTATACCATTTGGATCCGGCCGAAGAATGTGTCCTGGAATATCATTTGCTCATAGGGTGGTGAGCTTAACCGTGGCATCATTTGTGTATCATTTTGATTGGAAACTTCCTCATACTAAAGAAGAAATGGACATGAATACTATTTTTGGACTTACATTGCTTAGGGCAACACCTCTTGTTGCTATCCCATTACCCATCAATTTGGGCACATAATATCATCAAGTGTGTAGTCAAGTGTGTATGTGATTGTTATTAATGAATGAATGGTATGAGCTTTAAACAATTTATAATTTATGGGTTATTTAGCTCATAATCCTTTTATAAGCAACACATTACAACCTCATTTATTATTAAATTTTTATTTTCACCCGTTCATATATATGATCAAATTTGTAACATTTATCAATATCTTAAACAACCAAAATACACATTACGAGAGTTTTAGTGATATATTCAAAGTATATCAATATTATATTTTATTTATAAGGAATTAAAAATTATAAATTTTTGGATAAGCTAACCCTAGTTTCATTGAATTGAAAATCTGAGAGTTGTTGATTGATTTAATTGAGTTATGATACCTGTGTTATGCTTTATAACATCAATCTATTGCTATCCTACCAACGGAATAGTTGGTCCCACTTTAATGATGAATTATGGGGATTTTGGAACCCTAATTAATGTTTCAATTGTCCTTAAACAAACAAAATATATTTTATAAACCATTGAAATGGAATAAGAGTGTGATGGTTTATCCTATTCTCGGGTCATGTGTGACCATGACTTCGTCAAGTTTTGCATTGGTAGCAGCTTGTTCTGTGAAAGGAATTGTTTTTGGTAAAAGAATAGGGCATTGTTGCACTCGGTTAGCGTTGGGAAGCATGTTGATTAGGCCCCCGCAAGGAAATGGAATGAAGTGAGTATCTTTAGGTCGCGAGGTGCTGGTCATGAGTTCCGGGCGAATAATGTAATGTCATCAAGATCAGTGTAATAGCGGGAGCATTCCATACATGGAATTGATGGGTTTTGGTCATAAGACATCCTATGTGCTCATACAAACCCTAATGCTTGGATCTAGGTTTCTCTATTGTACATGCTTTGAATCCAAGACTTCAAACCCTAATACTAGCATATGGAAATCGATATTAACATATAATAAGGTTTAAGAACATACATTGATTGTTATATAGCAATAACAATCCTAATTCCACCTTGAATTGATTTTGGAATGCTTAGAGTCACAAGTGTCACTCCTCTAATGGCTTATAAACACCAAGAGCAAATGGAGAAGGTATAAAGAGAGAGGATAGAGGTTAGAATTCGTCCTTAGGACTTCTTGGGAAGGCTTAGACGAATTCATGAGCCTTAGGGTCTTTATATAGGTGTAGAGATAGGGTTTCAGTCATTATCCTTATCTAGTTGCTTATCCACAAAGCAACCCATAAGATAATCCTTGAATCCTTATCATAATCGAATTCTAAGGCCTTATCACCTCAAATTCGTTCACCCTATATTTAAGATAATCCTTACCTTATTTTGTAACTATCACATAATTACAAATCAGCCCCTCTAGTTTAATTAATTACACTTGATCACAAAATTAATTCCTAATTAATTATTGACCAATATTAATTAAACAAATATGATTTCTCCTTTAATATATTATTCTTATAACATATTAATAAATCATAATAACCTTTCTCTCTTTATTTATTTCTCCAATCAAGTTGCTTTGGTGAAGGCAACCCAAAAGGACCATGCACCATCGGGTCAAATACATACCAAAATAGTTATGGACTTAGACACTAATCCAACAGGAATAAGGGCCCGGGAGGGCATTCCAAACTCATGTTGTGGGCTCGGAGGCAATCCAGACCTATGTTGAGGATCTTGTGCGGGTATTCTAGATATAGGTTATGAGCCCAACGATCATGATTATTCGTTTCTACTTCTTGTGGTAAGTTCAGTGTTGAAGCGTTGATGGAAGTCGAGAGACTCACGAATCAACTAGTTTGGATAAAGCGAGCAGTTAGGGGTTGTTGGGAGTATCAGTCGTGCATCAGAAAGTCTATGCGGAGTGTTTGCATTATAAACCCCGTTTGTTTACAAGCTATTGTTAGGGGTTAGTTGTCAAGGTTGGGTTTCGGTCATGGAGTCTCAAGTCATGAAGTTCATTGTGAATGTATCGAATGATTCGTCTGGTGGGTATACACTTGAGCTGATAAGGGAGGGATGCAAATGTGAAATCTCTTGGATTTCTCATCCTTCCTCGTAGGAGCAGTGATTGGTAATGGCATGTCATAGGGTCAAGGGTTTATTTAAGGCTTTGGTGAAACATCACAAAATATGGTCCAAAAAAAATTCATTTTTAATAATAGTTAAAATAGTATTTTCCAACATCATCCAAACATTTCAAACAAAACCAATGTAACAATTTCCATAAAATCAGAGTAAAACATTATGTGCGGAAATCATAATGGTGTGTACAATGCAGTCAACCCGAGCTCTTCCCTTTGTAACTGGAAGTACCTGAAACATAAACTAAAAACAGTGGGCACAAATCTTAGTGAGCTCCCCAAAATAACACATACCATACATATCATGCAATAATGAGATATGGGCCCACCCACACTCAGATAATAGTGAGATACAGGCCCTGCCCACACTCGAATATGGCACCCTTAGGGCTTTCTATTTGATTGTATCGAAAGGCCCTATGAATTGGGATTTATAACGAATCCCGCCTAATGAGATACATGCATCACCCACACTCGGATAGTAATAAGATACGGGCCCCGCCCACACTCAGATAATAATGAGATACGGGCCTCGCCCACACTCACATAATGGGCCTCATCCAAGAGACACACATATACAAATACATACAAGTATCACACAGCCAACAAGTATAACGACATACTAAATGAGGGTCGGCCTTGGTGCCTTAGACCCGCTAAACCCAGTAAAGAAACTCACCTCGAGGAGCTGAATCTCATAGAAGGAAATCTCTAACTATTGGCCTGACGACTCCCGAACTAATAGTGCAAAATAACATCCAATCAAAATCCAATAATCCAACTTAAGGTAAAATGACCATTTTACCCCTGGCCTAAATCATTTCATGTCTAAGGTCCAAAACCATATCATAAAAGGTCTATCACTAGATAATCTTCTAACAACCTACCAGTGGCCCACTTATGGCCTAATTTTCCAAATTGGGCCCAACTCCTCTAATGGGCTTTACCCTAAAACCCAAACATATAAATGGTCCTAACACCTGATTCCTGATGGTCCACTAAAGCCCAAAGCAACAAGGTCCAAGAAAACAACCCAAGGAAAGCCCACGGTTGGATCGAACGTTGGGCGTTCCTCAATCCAACATTGGACGTTCGCACACTGATGCCCAAAAGTGCTCATTAAGCACTTAATGCCAAAAGCCACACAACCAGAATCTAGATCCGATCCCTAAAGATCATCTAGAACCATAAATTCATTGACTTGCTGGCTTTGCATTTCCCAAAAGGTTGCAACTTCAAGATATAGCATTCAACTTTCATAAAAAGGTCTTAATCTCATGCATGGAGCTTACACAACTCTAAAGTTGCAAACTTTATGAATCTAAAACATCAGAAACACCAAGAGGAGCAACTTAAAGATCCTAGAGTAATCATAATGACAAGATCTCAACCATGGGACCAAAAAGGGGAAAAATCCATAAAAACTTAGATCTAAGCTTCTAATGAGCAAGGTTAGAGCTTTATACCTTAAATATGGTAGAAATGGAGTAGAGAACCAAGATCTATAAGCTCCTACTTGAACCACCACCTTTCACCAAGCTTCTCTTCCTTGAATGAGCTTCAAACACATACAATGAGCTCACAACACTCAAGGAGGGTCTAGGGTGGTTTCGAGATTAGGGTTTGATGCTATGGAGGCTAGAAATGAGGACAACACATGCGACTTAAGGTGTTTAAATAGGTCTTAAACCATAAAAATTAGGGTATGAGCTCCACGTGTAAATGCCATACGTTCCCCAAGGGAACGCCCTGTGTTCGAGCTCCACCTCCAAAAGTCCCACCTTGGCAAGAATAGTCCCTCCTCTCCCATAAACTTGCAAACAAGGCCAAAAAGAAATAACTTAATATATAAGGGACCAAAATGAATAATACTTGGATCGGAATTTACAATTCTCCCCCACTTGAATTAGACTTCATCCTTAAAGTTCGTCGCCTCAAATAATTCAGGATAATGCTCGCTTATCTCTTCCTCCGGTTCCCACATCCACGCAGACCCCTTGTGGTGCAGCCACTAGACCTTAACCAGCTCAACAACCTTGTTCCTCAAGGTTTTTTCCTTCTGATCTAAAATCACCACCGGTCTCACAATGTAATTTAAGTGGTCATCCATTGAATATCCTCCAAAGGTAAAACTACAGAATCATCCAGTAAACACTTCCGCAGCTGAGAGACATGAAAGGTGCTATGAATCAAACTGAGAGCGGATGGAAAATCAAGACGATAAGCTACCCAACCTACCCGAGACAAAACCCAGAAGGGACCAATATACCTGGGGCCCAACTTGCCCCACTTCCTACACCGGATGACACCTTTCCATGGTGACACCTTCAGGAGAACCACATCTCCCACCTGGAACTCCAAGTTCGATCGGCGCCTGTCAGCATAAATCTTTTACCGACTCTGACCTATCTGAAGCCTACTCCGAACCTACTGAATCAACTCAGTGATCTTGAGCACCACCTCGGTACTCCCCATGACTCGCTGACCGACCTCGCCCCAACAAATTAGGGTCCTGCATTTCCTCCTGTAGAGCATCTCAAAAGGAGGTCGATCAATGCTAGCGTGATAACTGTTGTTATACGAAAATTCCGCTAAGGCAAGATATGTATCCCAACTCCCACCAAAACCCAATGCACATGCACGCAACATGTCCTTAAGAGTCTTGATAGTCCGCTCACTCTACTCATCAATCTGCGGATGAAAAGCCATAATAAAATGGAGGCGAGTGCCCATCTTATTATGAAACCACTTCCAAAATATGGAAGTAAAATGAACATCGCGATCTGAAACCACATACATTGGCACCCCATGACGTGTCAGTACCTCCCGAACATAAATCTCGGCTAACTTCTATGAAAAAATGTTCTCCTGGATCGGGATTAAATGTGTGCTCTTATTCAAATGATCCATGATGACTCAAATAGAATCCACTTTGTGGACAGTCCTGGTAGGCTTTGTGATAATATCCATGGTGATATCGTGCCGTCCCAT